TAGATTAAAAAAAGCTACGCCTTTCAAATTATAAGGTCCCACTTTTTTTAATTCGACAATATATTTCTCAAATTTCTCAGATTCAATGTGTTTGTACAAACGGTTGTTCCCGTCGGAAGAACAGATTCAGGAAATGGCTGACACATATGTTGAGCGATATGATGTTGAACAAGCAGAAGCAAGAAAAGAGGCGAAGAGGAAGTACTCGGAGACAGATGAAGACGGCTGGATTACTGTAACGAAAAAGAAGAAGACTGTTAAATCTATGAAACTGAGCAAGGAGGATGTTCCGTTGATTGCAGGATTAAACGGAAAGAAGAAAAAGCGTTTTATTGAATAGACAGTAAAAATGTTTTGTTAAATATCTGTCGTAAATTGTAATGTTTGTGGTGTACATGGTGTTTGCGTACTTGCGAACCGTAATCATCGCGAAAGTGGTGCACATTATTTTTTAATTGGCATGGCTCTTGTCATTTTTGATTTTCATGCTCCAGAATTTATTTTTTTGTCAAATTATATTTTGCATCTAGTGTTTCTACTTCCTGTCATATATCTTTGTGCAGTTGTCCCAATTCTATATGCTTCTAATTTATTAAAAATACAATATTATTAGGTTGTACATTAAATTAGCGTTAGAGAATTATTAAACCCGTTCATTAGATTGGCTACTGTGGTAGTTTGTCATAAAACTTCGAGTAGAATGTGTTTTTTTCTTCATTGTTCATCTTCTTTTTTTCCGGAGACCTCCGTCTTGATCCTGGTGCATATGGCCAGTCTGGTTTGACATCATCGCTATCGATCTTCCGGAAGTCAAACGGAGAAACAGGGTTGAAGGCGTTACCGTGAGCGTAAGCATAAGGAGAAGTTCCCTGAAAGCTATGAACTCGAAGAATTGTATTCTTGTTCCGCTTACCTGTTCCACAGCTCCGGAAAGTGGGAATCTGACTCCTGCCCCGTTTTCTCCGATCGGCAGTGGGAAGTCGATTCCTCCGATGAAGAATGAGTCATCTCCCTGTTCGACTTCTACTGCGACACCGGCATGATGTACGAATGGGTTACAATATGGTGGTTTGCATTTGATCGGTTCGTATCCATATGGGATTCTTCCCACAATGACTTCCTTTGCCTTCTCTGAAATAGTAACATATTATCGTTAGCACCTCTTATTCTCAAAATATACTTCTTGCTTCTCGGAATGCTGGGTTTTGTCCGAGCAGAGCTAGTGTTTCTGGTTTAATATTGAGATGGTTTGTTGGTCTCACTTGATATCCAACTTTGGCATCGACGTTAATATGCCCATAATAAATGTTCCCGTCGACATCAAAATTTCCCCATCCAGGAACCGGCACTATCAAATCACCAGCCATACTCTTAATTTTTTTTTCGTTAAAAAAAAGCATCTTTATCTACTCACAACTTTGTTTGCTGGGTTAATTTCTACACCCGTATTGAATTGGTCAGTGAACGGGAACAGTGGAAAATTGTCGGCTGTGACAAGAGCCGGAAACATAGCCTGAGGTCCTTTGACCGGAATAACAAGAGGTTCATCTCCTCCATATTTTTGACATTCTGAATGTTTCGAAAAATTGACTCTCTAACCGATAGCAATGTTCTCACCTATTCGTTCCAAAAAAAATAGAAACCATGTTAGAAACAATAGAAAGCCGCGTTCTGTCATTAGTTAGGTAAAATGAATACGAAGGATTTTCTCGATTAGCTGCTATCCGAAATCGCCTATTGTTTCAAAGCGGAAAAAACTTGATATCTTCGAGATGATGACACGGGATCCTTTTGTCCTTATCAATAGCCTTAGGAGAAGTCGGTGAATAGATGAATGTTTATTAAAACCCGTTTTAGGTATGAAAGTAACAATTGCACTCGAAATAAGATTGTAACAAAATCAAATGTAGTTAAACTAGTTATTTTTAAGTTGTCTTCGAAGACCATCCTCCTCCGATATCTTTTTTGATTTGAAACCTGGTGGTTCTACAGGACCCATTCCGTGACCATAGGTGATAAGGAGAGGATCTGTTCCAACGTTGACAGCTCCGCTCATTGGGAAACGAACACCAACACCGGATGGTGCGAGTGGTATCGGGAAGTCGAACCCTCCATCGAAAAGATAGTCATCTCCTGGTTCAACATCTACTCCAAAGGCCATATTATGTACAAATGGATTGCACATAGGTGGACGACACCGAACTGGTACAAAATTACCAGGTAGAACAGCGACTGGAACTGCTGGTACATTTTCTGAAAATATATTATTTTCGTTTTTTTATGAATCTAAAAATGAATTACGTCTTGATTGCTGGAACGTTCTATCTTTAGCTAGAGCAGCAATTGTGTCGCCGGAAATTCCTAGAACATTAGTTGGCGCGTTGAGAGATCCAAATCCGACTCTGGTGTTTGGACGCCCCATTTTCACTCCTCCTAAACAATACTCCACCATTATGCATGTTTTTGAAACCCTTACCCTTGTAGTCCCATATTCCCCAACCCATTATTGGAACATTCAAGTTTCCATCAACTGTGAATCTTGTCCCTGGATTGATATCTAGTCCATTACTGTATTGACTATGAAATGGAAACAGTGGAGATAGTGAAGACGCATCGCGTCCAGGGTTCGGCTGAATACTCATTATTTCTATGGACTCATTCTTTTCCACTCACCTGATAAAATGGTGGAAGATTGTAGTCTTCCTGTCTCGGTTTGAATGGTGCTGGATTGGGCGGGTAAGCTTGTCTTTTAATTCGGAAGAAAGTCGGCTGTTGAGCAAGTGTTTCTATTATCACTACTGACGCCACTAGTATCAGAAGTTTTACGAGACGCATCTCGCCAAGGGAAGGATTTAGAAAAATGGCAAAAAATAGTGATGCACCTCGTTTTCGTTTCCCATTTTATGCGATACGTAACAACCTGTTCTTGCGTCTTGATACCTCAACTGTTTTCTCGAGATACGGGATGAACTGGATAATGCCTTATCAGATGACGCCTGTTGCGTGATCTCGAATCTCGGGAACTGATGCATGAGTTGGGTTAATATAATAGAAAAAGTTAATTATGTCATTGATTCCAATCTTTGTTTCGAAACCCCGAAAGTCCCAAATTTCATATTGTTTCATAACATTGGTCAACTAAATGCATACCAAGCGAACCACATTTTTCTTCTCTCGCGCTCTTCCATTTCTGTGCATTATTACACAATATTGCGCTTCTCGTAGTTAAAGTGGGCTTGCTTCAAAACCCTCTTCTAATCCTTCCGATTCTTCAGTTTTTCTCTCTTTTTCTTCGGCCCTTTTCGAAATTCCCGCGTTGGTCTCATCGTACCCATTTTTTAGGGTAAAACATTCGGCATGGTCATATCCAGAGAGTTGGTATTGAAAGCGGATCGCAAGCAAGCGCCGTATGCGTCTCTCTTAGCACTTGCTGCTTCAGGATTTTCGTTGGAAAAATCAGTACAGTTTTCTGATGGTCAGAAACTGGTTCTCAACTTGTGAGTTTTTCGAATTTTTTGATTGTTTTTGAAAAATTTAACTAAAAAAGCTAATGAGTGTTTTTAAGGGATGGAGAACTTGTCTCTAATGATGTTGAAATCGCCAAGATTATTTCTCAAAGCACAGCTTCTGCTGATCGTCTTCTCGGAACATCTATCGTCGATTTTGCTGTTGTTGACGATATCACCAACGTTGTCGCTGAAGCAGTCACGAAGAATGATTTTTCTTGTCTTCTCGAGAAGGACTTTCCTAACAAAATTTTTGAAAATTTGCTGACTGTTGCTGACTTTGCTATTTTCTCGGTGGCTCATAACAACGCTGAATTGAAAACCAAGTTTTCTGGTATCATCGATCGCGTCCTGAAGGATTCATCTCTGGCTGCTGCGCACAACTTCGTTGGACTTTACAAGGTCGCTGCCGTTCCAGCTGTTAAGAATGTTTTGACTGCTGGTAAAGAAAAGAAGAAAGACGAGGGAAAATTCGTCGAGCTTCCTGGTGCCGAGAAAGGAAAAGTCGTGGTTAGATTCCCTCCAGAAGCAAGTGGTTATCTTCACATCGGACATGCGAAGGCTGCTCTTCTCAATCAGTACTACCAACAAGAGTTTGAAGGCCAGCTGATCATGAGATTCGATGACACAAATCCAGCAAAAGAGAATGCTCACTTTGAGCATGTTATCAAAGAAGATCTTGCTATGCTGAACATTATCCCAGATCGATGGACTCACTCCTCTGATCACTTTGAAATGCTTCTGACCATGTGTGAGAAACTACTCAAAGAAGGAAAAGCTTTTGTGGATGATACTGACACTGAAACTATGCGAAATGAGCGAGAACAGAGACAGGATAGTCGAAACCGTGGAAACACTCCGGATAAAAATTTGCAACTATGGGAAGAGATGAAAAAAGGAACCGAGAAAGGCTTAACTTGTTGTGTTCGCATCAAAATTGACATGAAGTCCAATAATGGAGCCATGAGAGATCCGACAATTTATCGGTGCAAGCCAGAGGAACATGTCAGAACCGGACTCAAATACAAGGTTTACCCAACATATGATTTCACCTGCCCGATTGTCGATAGTGTCGAAGGCGTTACTCATGCTCTCAGAACAACTGAATATCATGATCGTGATGATCAGTACTACTTCATCTGTGATGCACTCGGTCTTCGTCGTCCATACATCTGGGAGTATGCTCGCTTGAATATGACAAACACAGTGATGAGCAAACGAAAGTTGACATGGTTCGTCGACGAAGGACATGTTGAAGGATGGGATGATCCAAGACTTCCAACCGTTCGCGGAGTCATGAGAAGAGGATTGACTGTTGATGGGCTCAAGCAGTTCATTGTCGCGCAAGGAGGATCGAGATCTGTCGTTATGATGGAATGGGATAAGATTTGGGCGTTCAACAAAAAAGTAATTGATCCAGTTGCTCCAAGGTAGCTTCTTTGTTAGTTGAAAAGTTACATTTTAGCATTATGTTCTAGATATACTGCTCTTGAAACAACCGATTCCATTGTCACTATCGAACTGGTCGATTCGATTGGAGATGACACTTCTACCGTTTCCCTTCATCCAAAGGTAAGCTGGCTGCATGATTTACTTACTTGATTCTGAAGAAATCCTGGGCTTTGATAAAATAAATACGCTCTCTAGATTTATACTATATTCCTTATATTTTCAGAACGCCGAAGTAGGAAACAAGGATATTCACAAAGGCAAGAAGCTGTTTTTGGAGCAAATCGATGCGTCCACTCTCAAAGAAGGCGAGACTGTGACATTCGTTAACTGGGGCAACATCAAAATCGGCAAAATTGAAAAGAAGGGAAACGTCGTGACAAAGATCACTGCATCTCTCCAGTTGGACAACACTGATTACAAGAAGACGACGAAGGTGACATGGTTGGGAGATGTGAAAACTGAATCTGGAAAACCTATCCCAGTTGTAACCGCCGAGTATGATCATATCATCAGTAAAGCAATTATTGGAAAAGACGAAGATTGGAAACAATTTATCAATTTCAATTCAGTGGTATATTTTTCATTCAGTCTCTTCGTTTAACACTCAACTGCGAATATCTTATTTTTCAGCACTACAAAAAAATGATCGGAGAACCAGCAATCAAGAATGTGAAGAAGGGTGACATTATTCAACTTCAAAGAAAGGGATTTTACATTGTGGATCAACCATATTCACAAAAAAGCGAGCTCAGCGGTGTTGAAACCCCTCTTCTTCTCATTTCCATTCCAGATGGACATACAGGAAAAGAAGCTGAAAAAGTCCCGAAAGCAGCAGCCGCCACGAATGAACAAGGTATGATTTTCAACAGCGTTATGCACGTTTTTGAAGCACTATTAATGTTATGAAGAGTTGGGAGTATGTGCGGTTACATTTGAAACAACGATGTCCATAATTTTGAAGGACCAGTCGAACTTGTTTCTCGATTTATTTAATTATTCTAGTGAGTAGACAAGAAATTAATGAAGTTTTGTGAACGAAGCAGAAAACAAATAAAAGTTCACATTTCTCATAGTCAATAGATAATTTTTCTAGCGAAGTCATCTGGAAGCTCCGAAGCCCTCCAAATCTACACATCGATCGAGCAACAAGGAAACTTGGTCAGAGACCTCAAAGCTAAAGATGCAAAGTCACAAGACACCAAGGATGCTATTGCGAAACTTTTGGAACTCAAAAAGAAGTTCAAGGATGTAACTAGCGCTGATTTCAAACCGGGTCAACCTCCTGCGGCTCCTGCTCAATCATCTACCGGAGGTTCAGACATTGCTGCCCAAATCGATGATCAAGGACTACTCGTAAGAGATTTGAAGGCGAAAGATGCAAAGTCTCAAGCAACCAAGGATGCGATCGCTAAGCTATTGGAGCTAAAGAAGAAGTACAAGGATGTCACCGGGTCGGAATATAAACCTGGTGCTGCACCTGCTGCTCCAGCTCAACCATCAACCGGAGGTTCAGACATCGCCGCCCAAATCGATGCTCAAGGACTACTCGTGAGAGATTTGAAGGCAAAAGATGCCAAGTCTCAAGCAACCAAGGACGCTATTGCTAAGCTATTGGAGCTAAAGAAACAGTACAAGGACGTCACCGGATCTGACTATAAACCTGGGTCTGCACCAGCTGCTGCTCCAGCTCAACCATCAACCGGAGGTTCAGACATCGCCGCCCAAATCGATGCTCAAGGACTACTCGTGAGAGATTTGAAGGCAAAAGATGCCAAGTCTCAAGCAACCAAGGACGCTATTGCTAAGCTATTGGAGCTAAAGAAACAGTACAAGGACGTCACCGGATCTGACTATAAACCTGGGTCTGCACCAGCTGCTGCTCCAGCTCAACCATCAACCGGAGGTTCAGACATCACCGCCCAAATCGATGCTCAAGGACTACTCGTGAGAGATTTGAAGGCAAAAGATGCCAAGTCTCAGGAAACCAAAGATGCTATCGCTAAACTATTGGAGCTGAAAAAGAAGTACAAGGACGTCACCGGGTCTGACTATAAACCTGGTGCTGCACCTGCTGCTCCAGCTGCAGCTCCATCATCTACCGGAGCTAATGGAGTGGACGAAGCCGCCCTTCTGGAAGAAATAAATCAGCAGGGTGCTGCCGTGAGAGAAGCAAAAGCGAAAGATCCGAAGTCGGTAAGTTGAAAACCTTAACCACAGATGTGATACCAAATATGATCATGTTTTCATTCTTCAGCAAGAATCAACTGATGCCATCAATAAACTATTGGCATTGAAAGCAACCTTCAAAAAAGTTACTGGAAAAGATGTTCCAGCTCCATCGAATTCCAAGCATGGAAAGAAGAAGTAGATTATCACCTTTAAAGTTGTCTGTTTTTTTTTGTTTTCGTCTGGTTTATATCAATAGATAAATAAATGTTCAGTTATATTCAATTTTGCAAATTTGTTTTCTATCCTAGTAATTGGTTTTCAGCCGTTAGGTTCTTATCCCCTTAAAGTTTTCAATAAAACATCGACTATTGTAATTATTGTTTAGACAAAAAACGAATGAATCGGTGAAGTCGAAGCATGAAGTTATGGATAGTATTAATTTTAATAATCGGCGGAGTTCAGTGCGATGGATTCTCAGATCAAGTCTTCAAAACATTGAATATCGGAGAAGGAAACGCATGTTACAGGACATTCAATAAAACTCATGAATTCGGGTGCCAAGGTAGGAAGGATGCTGTAAAACTGATGCTTCAATGCTACTGTAACAAAATATAATGGCAGCATTCTCAAACTTATTATTACACTGCCGTTTCACTAATATCAAACATTGATTTCAGCAACGAAAGACAATGAGAATGGTCTCATAGTACGGATAGACAAACATGAAGACTTCAAAAATCTCGATTCGTGCTGGCGGTCGTTTTATCCTTCGTATTCTGGAAAGTTTTGGGCAATGGTTCCAGTCGATCTCATTCGTCGAGATTCAATTTCTATGCTGAAGTCTTCCGATTGTCTAGCCGGAATAGTGCTGTACAATTCAAATCAATCAATGCATCCAGATGAGAAGACTACAGCTGCGTCACACGATGGTGATTGTCCGAATGCTGCAAGTGATTATTACTTTCAAAACGATACGGAAGCCTACTGCGAGAGAAAATTCAACTCCCGAGGCTCGATTACTCCTGATGGCTTGATGCGAATGGACTGGCGAGTTCAGATGATTTTTATCAATAATTCTACTGATCTCGATGTGATAAAACGGTGTTATTCTATGTTCAACACACCTAGAGAGGACGGTTCGACTGGATATCCATATTGTGGAATGAGTTTCCGAATGACTAATATGGCAGCTGGAAATTCGGAAATTTGTTATCGAAGAGGCAAAAACGACGCGAAACTTTTCCAAATGAATATTGACAGCGGGTATGTTATCACTACTGAACTCCCGGTTTATATATCTTTGTTGTAGAGATGCTCCTCAACTATGTGGTGCTATGCACAGCGATAACATTTTCGCATTCCCTACACCGATTCCCACGACACCATTCAATGATACACATCATTCTAGCAAGTACATGATGGTGGCTTCGAGAATGGACAGTTTTGGAATGATTCCAGAAGTTTCTGTTGGAGAGGTTTCGGTGCTAACCTCCATCATTTCTGTCCTTGCGGCCGCCCGTTCGATGGGTGATAACATAGAAAAGTGGAAAAAAGCATCGAATGTTTCGAATCGCAACATATTTTTTTCGTTTTTCAACGGCGAATCTTTGGATTATATTGGAAGCGGTACCACTGCTTACCAGATGGGGAAAGGCATGTTTCCTCAAAGTCTCAGGGAAGATCGAGCACATATTCATCCAGTACTCTTAGAAGAGCTCGAGTATGTCTTAGAGGTCCAGCAAGTCGGCGTCGCCGAAGGAAGAAAATATTATGTACATATTGATGGCGACCGTTATGATCAGGACAGAACACCGACGGATAAAATTATGGATAAAATCGAAAGAGGTCTCAGAAGTCATGGTTTCGACTTGGAAAAGCCTTCTGGCAGCCAGAGGAAGTAAATTGTTTACAAATAGTAATATCGATAAAACTTATATAATTTCAGAGTACCACCATCCAGTTGGCACTCGTTTGCAAAAGCGGATAGTAAAGTCAAAGCCGTGTTGATTGCTCCATTCAAAGAAGAATATGACTACAAAAGAATCAATTCAATTCTGGATAAGAATCAATGGACTTCCGACGAGAAGGAGAAGGCCGTTCAAGAAATCGAAGCAGTTGCGACATCGATTCTTGCAGCTTCTGCTGAATACGTCGGACTAGAAACCGATGATGTAGTAGCGAAAGTTGATAAAAAACTTGTAAGGGAAAAATCATCCCTCATTTGAAAAAATTTATGCTACAGGTTACAACATTGTTCGAGTGTCTAATCACCTCGAATTTCTGGTTTGATTGTGATTTTATGCAAAAGCTGGATGGAGGTCGGTACCACAAACTATTCGATTCTTATGGATTCAACGAAAAGTCGACGTATATTTCAATGGAAACTCACACTGCGTTCCCGACGGTTCTCCATTGGCTGACGATCTTCGCTCTGGGAAGTGATAAAGAGACACTGAATGTGAAGAGTGAAAAAAGCTGCTCACATCTCGGACAATTCCAGGCGGTAAGAATAGATCACACATAAAAATGCAAATACATTTTCACAAATTCAGATGTACACATACACTTGGCAACCAAGTCCTTACACCGGCAGCTTTAGCTGTCTGAAATCTGCTATTGTGAAGAAAGTGATGGTGTCTCCAGCCGTTGATCCGAGTACCCCTGAAGAGGAAATGAACACAAGATATTCCACTTGGATGGAATCTGTCTATATAATTGAAAATGTCAACTTGTACCTGATGGAAGATTCTTCGTTCGAGTATACCATGCTTATCATTTCTGTGATCTCAGCTTTGCTATCAATGATTGCCGTTAGTAAGTATTTTTTCTACTTTCCCATTTTCAAAAAAGAAGTTTTTACTCCATATCTCTAATTCCAGTTCGTTGTTCCGAGGCTACATTCATCGTCGACGAAGGTGAACCAGCAGCAGAAGGAGGAGAACCCCTTTAGCAGTTATATATATTATAAGATCCCTTTAATTTATTCATTCCAAAATATTTCAAGCTTGAATTTACAAATCCATTTACGATCTCTGTTTATCTTCACATTTTTTAATTTTGCATATCTCATTCTTCTTTGTAAAATATTCTCACAAATTGAATAAGATTTCAGAAATTTTTATTGCCTTCTGCCTTGTTGTTTTGGTCTTGGTCTCTGTTCACCTCTTTTTATTTCGGGAAGTTTTTTTAAAAATTAAATAATTAGAAAACTCATTTTGGCTTATTTTCAGTTAAATGAGCCAACCAGAACCAAGTTTAAAAAGTGAACGACGAAAGTGTTACGAAGTAGGAAACTACATATCAGATCTCAGAAACCTAATAGATTTCAGGCTCGAGACAAATACGTAGACTGTATCGATAAGTTCTTAGCACAAGGGAAGAACGAGCAAGAAGTTTGTTTCTCAAAGTTTTTGTCCGATAGTAAAAATCTTCTAGGCGGAGAAGGCTTGTCGGGCCGAACGGAAAGGATTCAACGGTAATTGTCCAACCTCTTGGGTCAACCACTTCATCAGAAAATATCAATTTGAACGGTAATTCAAAATCAATCAAGCATCTAAAACTCGATTTCAGATATAAGAAAACTCTCGCCGAACAAGGAGTAAACATTGCTGATAAAAATGCGTTATCTGAAAGAGTTTTCCGTTCCCTATCCACATCTGCTGCTTGGTTCTTCCCATTTATACCATCCAAGTTTCATCGTCCGATGCTGGAAATGGCTCCACAATTCCAGTTTCTCGCATCTCCATCTGATCCGGTGTGCAACGAGAAAACAACTCAGTCTCTGCTTGCAGAAGTTTTACGGTTAAGATTTTAGCTCCACTTTTTAGTAGATCTTCTAGAATTTTAAACATTAATTATTGTATAAATTAACTGAATAATTTGTTTTCTTTATAGGTGCCACACATACTTTGATGAAACTGTTTTCCTCAACACCTTGAAAATTTTGTCGGAAACTAAAACCATAGGAAACCGAACAGATGGGTTGCGTCTTGCAATGATCCGTTATATCGGCATTGTTTTCCATTCTATCAAAGACGAGAAACTACGAAAATCGCTCAGCGACGTGGCGAACAAAGTAGACAAGTGTAAGATTCCAACGTTCAAAGCCGAACAAGGTTGGTTATGAAAATATTGACACCTTACTAGTTGAGACTATTCCAGAATTGTTCTTCGCTTCGATGCAACCGTCCGAAAACATCCCGAATTTTGCGAAATGCATGCATAAAGTATTATTAACTGTTTTTAAATACATGCTTTTCAATCATAATAATTCAGACTGATTTGATAGTGTGCTACTTTCGACGGGAACTCGAAGCAAAAAACTGGAAGAACGTCAGGTATATAAGGTATGGATAAGTAGAATCCCATAATGTACAATTTTAGGGACCTCATCGCTCTTCATCCGAAATTTGTGCCTCTTTATGAACATGTTGACGAATTTTTGAAAGTTGCGAAACATCAGAAGGTGACTAAAGAAGAACTCTTGGATGTGTTCATGCATTACGCTCAAGCCAACAACCCCTATTTTGTGGAGGAAGATGATTTCAACAAAGTGATGAAAATAGTTTTCAAATCATATAATGTGACTGTCTCGGATACAGTATCTGACATGAATACTGTTAAGAAAACTTACATTTCTGTGAAAGAAGCATCACTTCTGAAAAAGGCAATTGATGAGTATGTTTATAACTCCAAAGAGGGATTCGTCAAATCAAAAGAATACGAAAAAGTCGCGGTTCGAGTCCGGGAATGGAAAAAGGCTAGGAAACTGAAAGATGGCAAGAATGTGGTTGTGGTGGATTCACTCAATTTCGGAGTAGGTCGCGATCCTGTCGAATGGAATGATATTTCGAATCAGTTCCAACATGTTTTATTTGCTACTCGTTATCCTCCATCATTAGTGAGAGATAAAGTTATCAAGCGATATGATGGAAACGCTCTCTTTTGTGATAAACTGTTAGTATTAACATGGTTCAGAGCTGTTGTTTAGGAATTACATTAAAGTTTTCAGATCGGCCGACGATCTCATTATTTTGAGGATGGCTCTCGAATTCGGACCCCAGACATCTCTAGTCACCAATGATCAATACCGAGATCATCGTAGAGCAGTGTGCAATTTAGATCCAATCTTGGAAAAAATTTGGGATGATTTTTTGATCGACGCTGTCTACCGACATAAGGATAACTGTATCGAGGTAACTACAAACTATACATTTGATATTTCTTTTTCATTCATTTTCAGCCCCGAAGAAGTTATAATCTTCGTGTGAGAAAAATCAACGATCGGTGGCACATTCCAGTCTTAAACTTCGAAGGTAGTTCAGAGAATATGAGGAATCTTAAAATTTACCGCATTGACACTTAGTTTTTAATTCTATGAAACATGTTCTTAATTTAGTTCTTCTATCGTTTTTCTTGTTTCCTTTACTATGCTCCATTTTGTCTTCAATAAACTGAATTCTATTGTTTTTATCTTCCTGTCTTTGTTAGCAAAACCTTCTCGATTTTGACGCCTCCAAAGAAGTCCTACGCAATCCATTCAGATAAAAATCTCTCATCTACTTCGTTTTTCTCTCGAATTGCCCAATTTGGAATCTCGAAACGATGCCTTGTTTATAAATGTTTTTTAATGGACAACGTCGTCGGAAAGATCTTCTTCATCTTCATTATTTATTTTCCCAGGACTTATAAATTATTCGAGGAAACAACGGGAAACGCCCACTTGAAGGAAAAGCCCTCCGTTCAAATCTTAAGAAGTTAAGAACTTCCCCAATTTTTTTCCAAAAATTGTGTTTTAGCTTTTTTGCGATTTCCTAAACGATGTAGCACAATTCGGTATTTACAAATGAATCTTGAGTCTTGGAAAATTTTGTGACATTGAAGGTTTCCTGGATTAACCTCTAATAAGTTTGTCTGATCCTCACAAAACCATGTTGTTATCTTTGCAAACTCAGCTATCGTTGTCTGAGAAAAAATTCCATTCTTTGAGACTACTTTTTACATTATTTTGCAATTATTTTCAATTTATTGACGAGTTTCTCCATTTTCTCATTGATTTCCATGATTTTTTATTATTTATTTTTTTTCGATTTACATCGAAAAACAGAAGATAATTGTCGAAAACAGAGAACATAGGAAAATAATATTAGAAACGGGCTCAAAGAATACGGTAGTTTGCTTTTGCACCTCAAAGAAGACGTCTACAAGATATTTGCTCTCAACCTTTTTTTTCCCGACAACAATAATAAATTAAACTATCTGCTTTTACTGATAAATTGAAACTATGAGCAGGAATGAGGAAGACGTTGAGAACAGCTAAATGAACGTACCATGTTCTCGTGCGACGCCGGCAACTACTTCTGGTCGGAATTTAGTCGGATTCTGGGAGAAACCGATACTAGAGCCGACCAAACTCGGACAAACTGATGACAAGGTTTCGAACTAGTAGTATTTCAACTTTCAACTTCCGACCTAAATCTGGCCATGGCTCGCTATTCATCCGTTTTTGGCCAAATTTTGACCAGAACCTGGCCAATTTCCGTTCAAAGCCAAACCCTCCTCAGTTTCGGATGAGAAGTTACAAACCGAGTTGTCATACTATCATTCGACTATGGAACAAATCCTGTCATCCTTTTCCTTTCTTATCACCACTTCACACCATTCCTCTTCCTCGAATCTTAATTTCCCTTTCCATTTTCTTCACTTTCCCTAAGTTATCTTAACCCAATAATAGCTTTTTCATGATTGAGTTTTTTTTCCGTTATCCGTATTCCTTTTTCCATCCATTTTCTCTTATCTTTTCCCCTAAATTTGTTCCTCTAGTTTTCCTTCGTCTTCACCCCACCCCCCCCCCCCCCCCCCGATCGTCATCAGGCGGCATCTGTCAGATCCAGTTTGCCAACGCGCGGGAAAATGAAAAAAAAAAACCAAAGAAGAATAAGAAATGGCAGCAAAAGAATTTTTGTGTCATCTGCCAATGTCTCTGTAGATGTTACTGTTGCCCTCTGAAAAGAAGACGTTGGTTCGTCTCTTATCTGATTATCGTAGAAATTCCCTTTCACAAGCTATTTCTTTTTCTTGATTTTCGAATTTTTTTAAAGTTTCCTTCTTTTTTTGCTATTTCTGATAAGTAATGGTTTTGCGAGGAATTTGGAGGAGGAAGTACCAACTTTATCAGCTAGCAAACTGAATGATAAGAATCTCTTTTCATCGAAGTTTTTCGTGATCTCGATCTTTACGATGTTTTTGGTTTGAAACTGATTTTTAGCCAGAAGATAATGTAATAAAATAAACTTAATGTCCTCCAAACTCATTAATCATAATATTCAGCTTCGTATGACTGAAAGTTGTTCATTGGGATAGTCCTCTAAACTATGAATCTCGCCTACAGTATCCTGAAAAGTCAAACATGTGCATTTGAAATCGAAAACGTTGCATTCTTTTTTCCAGACATTGAATTACACTGAACTCGTTCTACATGTTTTTTTCAGTTTGGTTTAACAGTTCAAAGCATAATCGTTTTTGAGGGGGCGGAGTCAGACACTTCAATTCTCATTTTTTAGAAGAATGACCTTCATAAAAAGTTTCCTGATTCATCAAACATCAACATAAAAAGTATCTGAACCAAGTGTTCCAGATGTCTGATTTTGACTTCTATAGCACATTTGTAAGATACAGGCTATATCATATATCCTCTGATAATTCTGAATCGTGTTTTTTTTTCTTTCAACCACCCTTCTTAGCCCATAATTCTCATTAAATGAAAATCATATTTTTTGGAAAACCAGAAGAAATGACCATCAAGTAACCACTGAAAGTTCTATAATAACACTCATTGCCATTTTTCAGTTTCCGAAACGAATTCACTTTTTTTTCAAGAGGTGCTGCTTTTTCTTCTTCTTCTTTTTCTTCTTTTTCTTCTTTTCCCCTGTCTCTGGTCGTCCATTTCAATTTCCACACCAACCGACCTTCAAATTATTTCTGAACTTTTTCTCTAATTCTTCTTTTCTACTTACTCAAACCACGATTTCTGAATCATAGAGAAGAAGAAGACGTCAGGTTTCGGGGTCAGTTTCAGTGTAAAAATGGAATAAAGCAGAAGAGGAGACAGTATGACCTCCTCCGATGTTAAATATTCATTTCAAAGACTGCTTTTGTGGTTTCGAACTAACTTTCTTTTTACATAACGATCACTTTTAACATGTTCAGTAGTCATTTAAAAGTCGAAGAATCTGTATTTCCAAAACACAAGAATCGTTCGGAAACCTCTGATTTTTTTTTCGAAAAAATAGGTTTTTGCGATACAGCTTCCTACTTGACTTCCTATTTGTTTCCGAGTCCCGTTCTATTGATTCATGTTCCTTGCCTTCCAATTTTTATTAAAATAGAATAAGAATCCTGATTTAATTCAAGCAGTGAGCGGTGGGTCTTATTTTGTGTAAATTCGATATAAAAAAAAATCCAAAACATGAAGAAAATTTTAAAGGTAGTTTTGAAGTATGATTTATTTCAGTATAAAATCTTTTGAGGACCCTTGACGTTGGTCTAATGGCAAAATGGCTGGCTGAAGAAACTTTATCAAAGGAAATTTTGATATATGCTTACAAAATACTTGCATGGAAGAATTTTTCGAAAAAAATGCATTCCACATACCGTATTCCCTCTAAAAGCCCACCAAGACCATCAACTTTGAGCTCAATTATTTCCATTTCTGTGATAGATATCAACAATTGATCAACTAATAAAATCTTGGGAGTGTTATGATGAATAATTTATTAATTGGCAAAGTGTTGATATCTTTAACAGGGATCCAAATAATTGAGCCCAAAGTAGATGGTTTCGGTGGACTTCTATTTCAGGAAATACGGTAAAAGCGTGAAGCTTGACTTCCAAAACGTCGACTGATCTTCTCCTTTTTCCTACTTTTTTGTGTTCCTTGGTTTCCTATTTTACTGTTAAGTACTGTGTTTTGGTTTATAAAAAATAACACTTTTTTGTGATTTTTATATTTTTGTTTGATTTTTATAGTTCATGTTCTACCGGTAGGAACCATCAAACGACCATTAGTTTTTCAAAAAGTTTTTACTATTAGTTTCATATTTTTTGAAGAATTCAAACGATAGAATTTTCAGTTCTACTTTAGTTTAAAAATAGATTTCAAGTAACATAGTATCAAATTTGTACATTTCATCAAGAATCAATTTTCAGTTATTAATTAAAGACCTTAATCACATGTTTATCAATAAGAAAACGGAAACACAAGTATATTTAAGATACTGTTCTCCGCCCGAAAATAACACATTTCTCCTTATCATTCTTCCTGATATTTCTTTTACGTTAAGAAAACAACAATCTAAAACAGGCCTAAGTAGGGAATAGAATGGCTTAACACAAAAAGATAAATAGAGGGCAGTAGCTGCAACTTTGTGTAAAATGAACTGATCATATCATATCACCAAAATCATTCTATTCTAATTTTCCCTCCGCATTTCTTCCTCTCCTCTTTTGTTGAGAACGGTCTCTTTCCATTTTTCCTTATAATTTGGCAAGACAATGTTACTGACAACTTGGGATGATGATCGAGTTGTTTTTCGAAGGATCAAACGAGTAGAAGACGGAAGAAGCCGAGTGAAAGAGAGAGTGAGAGAGAGAGAGAGAGAGAAAAAGAGAGAGAGAGAGAGAGAGAAACTATTCACTCACGAATCCTCATATCCAAGTTTACTATTTTATCATTTTCAGAGATATTGGAAAAATTTTTTGCAGCAAAATACGACCTTCTTTGAAATAGCTACACAGATCTATTTTGAAATGTTCCTTTTTAAAAAACAGCTAATATTTTGTATTTTTAACTTCCTATATCAACTTGAAATATATGTCTCGTAGTAGAAGCAAATTTGTTTCATTCCTTCACTATTGTTTTCATAAATATCAAACTATTAGGTTGGAAAGAAAGTTTCTTTCTTTTTAACAGAGTTGTTTTTGAGGATCGATATATGGCCCTCCAAGTGGTTTAGCGGGCCAATTTTTTTTTGTTAGAGAGCTGTGTTCAGTGCCTATTAGATACTAGATTTTCAAATTTTCATCTCTCTTCGTGTTGAAGAAACAGCGGTTCTTTTAGTCTTTATCCGACTGCACATTGGCATCTTGATTATATTTTTATTTTTATTCGGTCTTCAACAGCTGGTATTTGGAAGAAAATTGTGAATGTATATGAGGGACATGTTCCGTCATCGCCTAAAATTTGGCTTTTGTTTGAGGAATTCCAAACAAGAGAGTTCAGTTTGAAAGATGCCAACGGCCTAGTGAAAAAAAACCATTTGTAAAATGTCACAGGTATTGCCCTCTAGTCAACCAAGTTTTGTGAACGGATCGAAGTCTCTTGGCAAAGTCAAAATCTGGGTTGGTTCGTACCCGGTGTTTTCCGGGCTACAATATGTTTCGCCATGTAGACATTGGTATGTTTAACCTATCATTTTTCGCATGTTCAAATGGCTGGATGATGTAATTACAGTAGATGATAAGTGGGTAAGTTACTCTGTCAATGTGCGGAAGGGTCAGTTGATTGCCAAGAAATAGCTAGAACTGGACGTTCAAGAACCTAAATTTTCCGTAAAAATAGGTATGGTATGAGTTTGATGGTCGGTCAAAGTAATGTACCACTATAACTGCCACCTTGTGTAGTTCATAATTAGAAAATATGAGCTGGACAGTCTAATCAAAACGAGGATAAAGAACCAAAGTTTGCTTCCAGTGCGGCAATGCGAGATCGTTTGTGAATAGAGGAATCAGCCAAATTCATGTCCTTTGGCTGAATTGTTATTTTGCACTCATCGTATTCTCCGGACCTTGTCCTTAAGGAAAAGTAATATTTTGGAACTCTTAAACGTCATCTTGATAGAGAATACTTTAAGTGAAAAGATGGCACAAAAAAGGAGTAGACCCACTATTTCAATGGCAGCCCTCCTCGTTCTAGGCCAACGGAATCAAGAAATTACCGGAGCGTTGCCAGACAACTATTGATGCTAATGGACGTTACTTTCATTGATCTAGCTCCCTCCGCATTGAGAAAAATTTGATCAAAAGTTTTGCCAAAAAAGAAAGAAACTTTCTTTCCAACCTAATCCTAATTCTTAGCTTTTCTAATCGAAGAACGAAAATTTCTTTTCTGATTGAATAGAAAAGGAAATCGGATTGCGGAAGTGTTTACGCATCAGTGATAAGGATTGGAGAACTTTGCAATTGGATTTCTACCCAGATCACAGGTCTAAAATATAGGTTTCAGCTTTTCCTTCTCCTTTTCTGATTTTTCTTCTTTGTTATGATATTTCTTTCCATCTTCTTCTGTCCACAGATTTTCTCTCATCTATATCTTGTTTCTTCTATAGTTTCTACTCGTCATGAACGCGGAACAAAAAATTCAGAATAGTAGTAAATAAGTTGATAAACCGTTCAACGTTACAGCGAAAAAATACAACGAGAATAGAGGCGAAACGAAGGGCAGAAACCAAAATCAGACGGAGAGATGACGACGATACGGACACGGAACGGATTGTGGCTTTTAGTGGTTTTTACAGTTTCCGTTGCATTTGGAAATGCTGAAATATTGGAGGGTGCACCACCGTATGTTCTAACTCGGTTCTTTATACCGTAAAACCTCTTCTATTTTTCCGAGTCCCTCTCAGAGAGCCCTTCTATTAGAGGGGCCTTTCTAATAAAGGGGCCCTTCTACTAAAGTCGCCCTTCTAATAAAGGTTTTACGGTTATCCTTTGCCGTTGAAGTATTAATAAACACGTCTACTGTCAGAGTCAAATTACCGTAAAAAACTTCAATAGAGTGCCACCCAAACCAACAACGTTGAGCGAATAGCAGATATCAAAAAATGGTCAACTGACAAAGTGTATTTCATATTATGATAAACATTTTATTAGTTAACCACTTTTTGATATCTTTTATAGAAAATGAGATATTTAAGCTCAAAGTTAATGGTTTGGGTGGCCTTCTATTAGAGTGATCACGACATCTTAAATTCAGTACATGTGGTAGAAACAGATGGAGATACCATTAACAATACATTCAACGCTGTCAATATTTTCCTTAAATTTTCAGAAAATTTCAAGTTCTCCGTGCTCACGCTTCTGATGTCCCACAACTAAACGCACTCCGAGATATTCAACACAAAACTGAAAACGAAGTGAGATCTCTATTTTTTCTATATTTTTTCTTCATTCTCTTTCAGCTCGATTTCTGGCAAACACCTTCAAAAGTCGGCCATCGAGCTGATATAATGGTGGATGCTGATCGAATGGAATGGTTGGATGCGGTGCTAAAAAGCTCAAATATCAGCTATGATGTTATCATTGATGATGTTCAAAAATTGATTCTGGAAAAGGAACATGGACCTTCGAGATACTCAAAATTGTTGTTCTCCAAAAGAATGCACAATGAAGGAGGGAACAGAGCGAGGGTAAACTATATGAGATTTAAGATTAGAAACTAAAAAAAATGTTTATAGTATGGGTTCGGCGAGTATCACAGTTATCAAACAATATGTGATTGGATGATAGATATTGAGAAAAAGTATCCGGATAAGGCAAAAGTGTTCACTATGGGCACAACGGTGGAGGGTAGACCAATTCAAGGAATAAAGATTGGAAATCAAGTATGGAGAAATGATAAAAGAATATTCTGGATTGATGGAGGAATTCATGCAAGAGAATGGGCAGCCGTGCATACAACACTTTGGTTCATAGATAGAGTAAGTGGCATTATTCCAAATGTTTCAATGAATCCACTTTTTCAAGTTGATAGCTGATTACAACGATGATGCTTTGGTCCGAACTGCTGTTGATCGTCTTAATTTTTACATTCTTCCGGTGGCTAATCCAGATGGATACGAGTATTCCAGAAGTGATGTATCACCGATGGTACGATTCAAAAGTATTATTTAAACGAAGGGGGCGGCAAATTTTCGTAGTTTTTTTTGAGTTAGGGTAGCTTCCGCCACCGTAGCTCATCTGGTAGCGGCACCCACAAGTTCAACTCTTCGTGGGGCTTATATGAACGGAATTTCGAGAAAATTATGTCTTTCATGTCCCCTCACCTTTAAAAAGTTCTGTGTTCCAGGTTCGCTTATGGCGAAAAAATCGTGCTGGCGTCGTCTGTAAAAAGGATCGTTGGTTCAGAGACAGATGTTGTGGTGGAGTTGATTTGAATAGAAACTATGATTGGCATTTTGGAGGTAGAATTTCTTTTTTTTATGTCTCTAACTGAAATTTCCGATTTCCAGAAACTGGTTCAAGCACGGATAAATGTTCGGAAATTTATCAAGGAAGTTCAGCATTCAGTGAAATCGAAACAAGATCGATGAGAGATTTTCTGACATCTCCAGAGTTGAATGGAAAAATTGACGCATTCATCACACTTCACACCTACTCTCAAATGTGGATCCATCCATATTCGCATGCGAGAAAAAGTGTTCCAGCTGATGTTGCCGAACTGGTAAAATTTTCTGAAATACAATTTTTGGAGCCCGAAAGTTACAGGAACGAGTTGGAAAAGCGGCTGTAGCTGCTCTGGAAAACACTTATGGAACACAGTACAAGTTTGGAACAGGATCAGATATTCTCTGTAATTTAGTTTGAAGAAACTGAAAAATGCAATAAAGAAAAATTCCAGATCCATCTGCTGGAGGTTCGGATGATTGGGCCAAGGGAACTCTTCGTATCAAATATGTATATTTGCTAGAACTCAGACCGGGAGAGGATGGTTTGTGCAGGTATTGTGGAGATAATAATCGGGGTTATTATTTTAGTCTGGGATGGTTTCATTCTCGATCAACATCAATTGATTCCAACTGCCAAAGAAACATGGAACGGAGTTAAAGTTGTCATCAGAGCTGTTTCAGATCAAGCTGCATCACGTGAGTCTGAAACGAAAAGTTTGGAATGGTTGAGTTGTTTTTGTTGAATTGGTTGTTAAGGAACATGCGACTGTAATACTCGCACACCCGTGATTCTGAAAAACGAAATTTAATTTTGAGCCTGTTTTTTGACTGAGCCATGCATGATCGTTTTCTCAGTTCCTGATTCTATCGCTTCAACTTTGCCTCCGATAACGTTACCGCCCCCTCCGCCAACTACTACTACTACAACAACTGCTGCTCCGACAACAACCACAACTCAATGGACAACGACTCCATGGACTACGACTCCATGGACGAGCACTCCTTGGACCACGACGCCTTGGACTACAACAGCTCCATTTTCAAGTATATTTATCGTCACTGAACCCGCACCTGTCACCCGCACCACGCCCACACATCTCGACGCTTTCTATAAACTCGGCAAACGTCGCTTTAAATTCGTTTCCATCAAAACATTCCTTCCAACGCTTCCCACTACCCCAATGCCTGTTCAAACTCCTGCTTTGCCTCCCACTTTTACACCACCAACTCCCTCTTTTCCTGCATTTTCGCACCATTCTGCTTTCTTATTTTCCTCTTCATTCTCTCAAACCACTTCACTGCCTTTTGTCACTGTTGTTGGTCCAAATGAGAACAACGAAGTGATTGATGATTTTGAAGGTGCTTCGCCACGTGTCCTTCCTGCGTTTGTTCGTCGACCAAATGGTAGTGTTGTTAGAACGGTAAGAAATGTTGTCAAGAAGGATATGGCATTTTTGGAGCAGACAATATTGTTCTGGTACGAAAAAATCTGAGCTTTTACAAAAAAGGCGTTGGCCATAGCTGAAGGTCCCACAACGGCAACTACCGTAACCAAAAAATCTTTTCATTTTCAGAATACATTCTCTCGTTTTTCACTAATTTTCGTCGAGTTTTCCGTTCTTTTCTTCAAACAAGGCGGAAAATCAGAGTTTTTGATAAAGAAAAAATTGACTGAAAACGCACGCAAATCGGGAAAATAATTCTGGCAAATAAAAATAGTTTTAAGTTAGGGCAGTTTTCGTTGTGGGACCTCCTTCAACGGCAACCGGCATTTCTCTTCCATTTTTTGTACCAGAATAATACATAGAATATTTCACTGTTTGTTAGATCTGTCTGCTCCGAATATGTCATTAACCCTTTGGTCTCTGTTTATGCCTATCTATGTATTGTGAATGTGCAGAACACTCGTCGTCCGGGATCTCGTCAATTCATGCGTCGCCCCGGAGGCTTTGCTCAACAGAGAATTGTCCAATTCAGGAATAGTAAGCAGGCTTTTTTCTTTTTTATTCAAAAACTGCTAGTCTTCATGTACTTTTTTTCTCATCACTCACAGTAGTGATCACTGCAGGAACATATACTAGAAAGATGATATTTAGACTTGTTAGAAGGTTTTTGGAGTTAAGGAGGCAACACAATATAACCATGAACGGATTCATCCTTTGTTTTCAGGATCTCCCAACCGAGGTCAAACTTCAAATACAAATCAGAGACCACCACAGGTAAGTCATCGAGTAGCTTCTGGATCTCAATACGCCTTTCAGCAACAACAGCAAAGACCGCGGGGCAATTGCGTTGACCGTTCTGCTTGGTGTGCATCTTGGCTCAGTGCCAATTCTCAAGTCTGTCAGATTTCTGCCATCTACATGAGACAAGACTGTGCAAGAACTTGTAGATTCTGTTGAATAGATGGTCTTCTTTCTCCTTTTTTCAAATTACCAGTTGCCATTTCATTTTTCCCTGTCTTCTCTCAAGCTTTTTCTGCTGATTTCGGGTTCTTTCTTTTTAATAAGTCGAAACTGTTCTTTAGTTTTTAAAGTCAATACTATAACCTATAGTATTGACTTTAAAAACTATAGTCTATAGGTTTTGCGAAATTTTCATTGAAAACCTTCTTGTTTCTTTTTCTTCTAATAAATCATTTTGTTAATGACATAGACATGCTCATTCAATGACGTCATCGATTGCATCAACCGGATTTACATAACGATTTCCAGATAAGAAAAGGTTACTGGTAACGTAAAACTGAGTTAATCGTTTCAAGAAATAAGATCGGTACACAGGAATCAGATCTCAAAATAATCAGAACTTATGAGGAACACAGAAAATCGATCTGTTACAGTAAACACTCTAATAGAAGGCTACCCAAACAGCCAAATTTGTGCCCATATATCTCATTTGCTGTGAAAGACATACAAATGATGTCAACTAATAAATTGTTTATCACAATATCAGCAGCATTTCATCAGTTCACCTATTTTTGACATCATTTACAGAAAATGAGATATTTGGCAGGTGGGGGGGGGGGGGACTTCTATTAGAGTGTCGTGATTTTGAAAATGAGAGTTGAAAGTTATTCTGAAATCTATGGGAAGGCTTTTCTTTTCTTCATTGTAAACACTGTTTTTCTTTAAAATGCACATGTTCATTTGTGAAGATATGCCTAATGACTGGCATCCTCCTTCATCTGAATTATTGCGTCATATCATTGCATATCGGGAGAGGATGTACAAGTATTTAGATGTTATTTGATATCATAAGAATGGAAGCAAAACACGAAAGGATTAACCGACCATTCAGAGAATGAAATACGAGTTAATGGTGTTAATTAAGGCCGGAAAATGTTTTGAGACTATACAGTTTATGGTCTTCCATGGTTTGATGCCATTGAGTTGTTTTTTATAATTCAGAACAAGAAAGAGTTTTGCTGACCAGGATAATATGTAAAAACAGTTCAGATATGCGATTTGCGAATTTTTTTGAAGCAAGTTCGTTCAAAACTGCAGTAAACACTCTAATAGAAGGCCATCCTGAATTCGCACTTTGAGCTCAATTACGCAAGAATATCGAAACCTACAGTAGAGGTCATTGAAATATACAAATAGGTCAATAAAATATGGATATTTTCAGTTGACTTTCGGTCATTTGAACCATTTTTAGGAATCTGGAGATCGTCTGCCAGGTTTTTTTGTGAGTTTTTCAAAAATTTCTGTGAATGTAACGGTTTTAATCTAGGTCTGTTTTACATCCTCCAAATTTTCCGTGTTTGGAAACCCGACAGACAAGCTCCAGGCTCCTGAAAATTGTCAAAGTCAACTGACAAACACGGTATTCATAAGAAAAATATATATCCCTAGAGTACTGATTAGCCAAACTTTCGTCTGTTGATCTCTTTCGGACATTGTAACACTCAAAGATTTTTGTTATTTGTTATAGAAATTGAGATAATTGAGCTCAAAAATGTGCAAGTTTAGAGTGGTCTTCCATTAATGTTTACGGTAATTTAATTTATTTATTTCAACGAAGGGGAGAAAACCACTAACACGTAAAATGTTAAATAAAATGTTTAAAAAATGTTATCAGGAAACTTTGCTCTTATCATGTTTTCCTGGAAATGGTAATATTTGATTGTTTCCAAAAACTCCGCTTGTCTGCACAAGAGAGGGTTTACTGAAACTCGATTCTTCGACTCGGAGGGGTTGAACAATGCGGATTAGGAGAGACAATGTCATTTCTGCGGATTAGCCTTCCTAACGGATGAAATGACAACATGGCTTATGTAATGAGAGTACTGTGTGACATATATGATTCATCCGGACGTTTGGAATTACATTAAATATCGAAAATGATTTTCCAGCAATAGCTGTTTTTTTTTCGAATCTAGTTCTCCTTGTGAGCGATCCTTGATTCTCTCTCAGGTTGAGGTGTATTCTCAATCACCAAAACCTCTAATTATTTCTAGTTCTCACTTCTAAACGTTTCTCACTTTTCTCAACTTTTCGTTCTTGACACGAAGCATTGAAAGAGGAGACCATTCGAGGTCAGAACCCCACAATTATCACTCATGGGATGAATAGTTGACTTCTTCTTCTGGGAAAGAAGGTACGAGTATTGTCACGTAATAGGATAACCATGTTAACCCCAAGTGACCTTCTAAGCCTATTCAGTAACACCTTGGAATGAGTCTCCATGGAACGGCGCCCTATTAGATTTTGTTGTTTCACACTCTCTGAAGACGTTGTGACACCTGTATCGATTCGGTGTTTGCCTCATTAGACACCATGAAATGAACACCTGCACACGAAGAAAATTAAGGTAGATGGAGAAGGCGTGAAGGCAGACAACTCATACATAGTGATTTGAAAAAACGTTCAAAGTTGTTGAGTCAACTGATATCTTCGACCTGCCTTTCTTATTCTCACACGATTCATGGGGTTACCTAATGGAATGAGTGGTCCCATAAACTGTCACCTTACCGTTCCGTTCTTAGGTGACAGAGTTTACGTAAGCCAAATCGAGGACAGAGAGTCTTCAAGGACGCCCCCGTGACACAAAAAAAACACAGAGATGAATGAATGAAAATGAGACAGAGGGGAAAGGTGATGAATCGAGTAAACTGCATGGGAAAATGAACGGATTTTTTTTATTCTTCATTAGAGAGCATCGTTATTTTCCCAGGCTGCTCCTTTAGTATCGTCTTCAGATGTGCGGTGTCCCTCTTTCATTTGTTTTGATCTTCCGGTTTTTACACTTCCGGTTTGTTTCAGCATTCAAATTCACACTTCTGACCGAAAAAATAAAACGGGCGAGAAAAAAGATGCACAGAATTCACGGTTGAAATCGGTTTTTTTCAGAACGTCGGTAAAATGCACTCAAATGCGAAGACCGTATTTCTACAGTAAAACTATCGTCGACGCGAATGCTTCAAACTAAACTGCTGAGCATACTTGTAATCCGGGCCTTCGCCGGGCCTTCGAGGGTCCTGCCATAATTTCTTTCAGAATCGATATTTTCAAACCAACTAAATCAGATATGATAGAGCTTCACGAGTACTACAAAACAGTATTATTTGGAATACTGTATCTTATCTATGAACAAAGTTACAGATCATAAAGTGGCTTTTCTCGCAGGGCCCGGCAGGCCCGTGCGGGGCCTGCTTTTTTATGTTCCTTTTGCTCCGTAACTCTGTTCATAGACAAGATACAGTATTCCAAATAATATTGTTTTGTAGTACTCGTGGAGCTCTATCATATCTGATTGAGTTGGTTCGAAAACATTGATTCTGAAAGAAGTTATGGCAGGGCCCGCGAAGGCCCGGCAAAGGCCCGGATTATAAGTATGCTGCTGAGTATTACGGTTTTGAGAATGCATTCCATCAGAAAAATCGCTTGAAAAAAAACTGTATTGAAAAACATTCCGGATAAAACACGAATCGTTTGTTTCGATGTTTTTCAAAAAGAAAAAGAATAACGAGTTTAACAATTCAGATTTACAGCTCCAGTTTTCGATTCCGGATATGTCAATCTCTAGTTTCATGGATGCTCCTAAAGTAATCCCTACCCCGTCTTCTTCTGTTTTTCGAAGGATGACAAGTGGTTCCGCTTCGAGTTGTTATACACCGCCTGCTTACAATCATCCCTTCTTCGCTGTCTTTTTCGAATCCCAAACCTTGTCATTAGTCGGTATATCCATTTCTGTTTTCTTCCATTTTCTAAAATCTTTAGAAATGTTCCTTTTATACAACCAATTTTTTTCCAGCAACTTTCCATTATATGTACTATCATTATAATTGTTCATCCAATATATTATCCATGCTTAAAAATGATCGTATTCTCTGAACACTAATTCAATTTTGCCACTCTCTCGTGATCTTCCTTGTAACGGCTCACTCATAATTGTTCCATATGTTATTAGATAATAGGTTGATGAACAGATGATGATGCGGGACCACTTGAAAAGAAACCAATTACCAAATCAAGATGCGCTCATCTTCCTTTAACTCTCGCGCACCGCCGTGTAAACTACTGGTCAGGTGTGCGACAAAAAAGGAAGTGTTCCCAAAGGGGAGATCCAATCAGAATGGAAAGAAGAGAAACGATTGGGAATAAAAGACAAATTGTGTGTGAAAAAAATTGGGGAGAGAGAAAAGATGGTGAATTTATGGGAGGTCGTTGGCAAGAATCACATTTCAACAATCAAAATTTGGCGAGGAGGCAGGAGTCAATGTTGCTGTCCTACACCTATTTTTTGAAATATCCTCCTCTGTTTCTAGTTCTGGATCACAAAAAATTGCATTAGATCTGTCTATCTACATGTTTTTTCAGTTAGTTTCACAGATTATTAGAAAGTTAAGTGGATTTGATTGCTCTTCTCCTGTGAAGTGAAGCAAAGCATAACTCCCGTACAACCTGTAATAGAAGAGCCCCACATCATTAAGTTTCAGCTAGTTTTTCTTGGCTCCTGTGCAAGATATCAAAAATGAGTCACTTGATAAAAAGTTTGTTGTATTATTATCAAAAATTTATCAGTTGATCATTTTTTCATATCTTACTTTAGCCAGGAACCGAGCAAAATTGGATCAAAGTTAGAGACCCTTTCTATTACAAGGTTTACGGCAACTTCAAACTAAAAAATTTTTGGTCATACAACTTTTTCCCAGTTGTTTGAGGTTACTTGTTGAAGTGCTTAAATTTAAAAGATGGACCTTCCAAACTTTTTTTGTACAACGTGTCAAACTTCAGATTTTAAGATCCATTTAAAAAGCAGTTCAGATTGATGTCATGTGCCTGTTTGTGGTTGGTGACTCTAAGATTTTCTTAGAATCGCTTCCAATTTATAGTGATAAATACCTCACTACTGCACTTTTTTCATAAAACTATTTTCACAAATTTCTCAGATCTAAAGTCTCCTGCCCTAAAAGAGTACTTTTGAGAAACGGTATGGCTAACTTCAAGTCTAGGAAAACCCTGTAATTTGGAGGAACAATTTGTTGAGAATTCACTCTTCTCCTCACGAGAAAATCGAAATGTGTCTCGTTTTGGTTCGTCTTGTTTTTTTTCACGACGCTACCAACGTTTGGTACAGCGAAGTGAGCGTTTTTGAACAGAAGGTATGGGATTGTAGACCCTATCATTAATACATTCATTTGCACCACCGGCTGCCACGTCATCTGGAAAAGACAATGTTATTCTGTCGTATTACTAATAAGGCTTATGCTAGATTAGTCTACATCTACCTGTAGGAACAAACCATTTTCGGAATGATTTCAAACATCATCCCAAAGTTTCAATGCGCCGTGTTTCCTCTAATAGAAGCCAACCCAAACCGTAAACTGTGAGCTCATTTATCTCGGTTCTTGTGAAAGATATCAAAAATTTGTCAACTAATAAATTATTTACCATTGTATCACCAATATTTTATCAGTTGACAAACTTTTGACATAACTCACAGTAACCTAAATAATTGAGCTCAAAGTTGTATGGGTGGGCTTCAATTAGAGGAAGTATGGTGGTTGTTGAGCTTTACCAATTTTGGAATTTGAGAAATTCGAAATACCAGTTTGTTTATCATTTTCCCTGTAACTATACGAATCTTAATGATATGTTGATATGTTAAGAAAATTCTGAGAAATTTCCATTTCAAAGCCAGCAATTTTACTGATTTCTTAATGTCTTGTCAGCCGCTTTTTTATTTTTCAATATTCTAATTACCTAGCTTTCTTAGCGCTTGCCTCTCTCAACCACCACCTTCCCCCAACTCTACAGTAGTCTCCAAACGGGGGCGGAGCCTCTTCCCCCTTCCCATCGAGTGTCGCCTCCTTCGTTCCGCCCATTTCTTCTTTTCACTCTCCCTTTTTGGCTCGCTTTCGAAAGTGGAAACGGATAAGATTTATAGTCTATTTATAGGCGATCACACAATGTTGAATCCAACGGATGCTGCCTCTGCTGCCCTCTCATTTTCAGTGAGTTTATCTCCTTTTCGTTCACAATATTTCTTTATTCCCGTATTTTTATAGGTTCCATTCCAAATGAGTGAGACTCCGCTTTCTAAACTCATGGAACATTGTAATAAGTTTGTACCAGGAGCTGAAAACAAAATGAAATTGGACAACCCTAAATCAGAAGGAATCATTCTTCCAACAGACATGAATGCATATTCACCGTACTTTACATCTTCAACATGGTTAGTTCGGTTTTTGGAATTCATTCTGACTTTTTACATTTTATTGAAATATCATACTCATTTTGAATGTCTTTCTTTGGAATTCTCAGTTTGAAAAAAAAAAGTTCATTGTTGGCTACTGATATTGTATGTATACCGTGAAACCTGTTTAAGAAGCCCTCCCCTGCCCTAACTTTCAACTTTGAGCTCATGGCGAGCCTGTTGCGCGATAGTGGCAAGAACCCTCTAGGAGGGACCACCAGTCGCTGGGGAGATTATGTAAGTCTCTCAGTTCCTGTCAAAGATATCAAAAACGTTGTCAACTGATAAATTATTTGGCATAATTTCAAAAACATTTCATCAGTTGACACATTTTCAATATCTTGCATGGGAATCAAGATAATTGAGCTCACACTTGACAGTGTGCGGCTCTTCTATTACAGGTTTTACGGTATTTAGTCGTTGAGATTCTCAGTTTCTTTTTTTAAAAGTTTTTTATCTATTAATATTGTATATTTCCTAGTCTTTCCAAGTTTCATAGTCATCTTGCTCTACTTCCAGGTGGGATCATACAAATTGGCCACAACTCTATCCTAACGTATCTTCTGCTCCAAACATGGAAACATATCAAAACTATCTGGCATCTGCACAACTCGGAGGACTTTTCCAATCATCAGTCTCAGCAGTGGCTGCACAACTTCCAAATTCCGCTGGTGGTCCATCTGCTCTTTCGTCCACAATCGCTGCTCAGCAGCGAAACACTTCAAAGGTGAGATATCAAACTCCACTCATTTCGTATACCTAATGTCCATCCCGCGGATAATTAGTCGACATTTTCTTTACGAATTTGAAATTGAGGGGGAGGTTTAGGGGTACTTTTAGTTAGTACAACAGCTGATCATATGGTGATAATTTGTTTTCTGGTAAGGAAAAGAGCAATTCCTGTTTCTAGTAGTAAAGGATAGCGATCAAAAACCTGATCATACAAACTATGATGTATGCTATAAAGATTTTAATAAATAATATTTTCAGAAGCTCGCACATCCAAAAACTGCAGCTTCATCTTCATCTTCTGGTCCATCATCAGGTGGTGGAAAGTACCAAACTTCTCGACTACCAAATAAATGCGAATGTCCGAACTGTCAGCAAGCCGAATCATTAGGTGAGTTCTGGTTAGAATTCAGGGTCTCCGGTATTTCCAAGGAAAAAAAACAGAAATTGGGGAAAAAATGTGTTGGTAATGGATCAAATCGTCCGTTTTGTTCCTCTTCTTCCCATCTTACAAATGTTCAATTAAACACGCAATATGTCTCTGCGCCCCGTTCTTCTTCTACACTATTTCCACACTGGCTTTCTTCTTTTTTGCCGAGGTGTCACTTTTTTCGGGAGGGACGCTTTTGGAAGACGAATAAGAAGAAGAAGGCGCCATACGCATACATTTTATGCGACGGAGCTTGTGTCTTTCGGACAATTTTGATGGAGAGAAGAGAGTCGAAAAGCCGTGAAAATGCTCACATTGGTAGAATTGAAGGAGGGGATAGAAATAAGCTCTTTCTTTTCTTTTTCTTTTTGGGTCTACTTTGATATTATGCTGGTACAAAAAATCGGAGAGGTGGCAGTGACATAAATTCCCAAAACGACAACTACTGTAACCTAAAAATATTCCTATTTTCAGAGTTTTTTTTCACGATTTCCGTACTTTTTCAGTTAATTATTCAATTTATATTCTTACTTCGTTGCGGAAAATAACAGAAAAAATATACGAGA